TGTGTGTGTGTGTGTGTGTGTATGTGTGTGTGTGCGGGTGTGGGTGGGTGTGTGTGGGTGTGTGTGTGTGTTTTATTTTATTGTTGTATGTATATCATTGTTTTGAAATTGCTCTGTTAACAATAAATTGATTTTACATTTAAAAAAAGTTTTTACCGCCAAAATGGCCACCATCTTGAAATTTTTGTGATGACGCTGTCACACTAAAGGTGAACTGTAATGATGAGGCATAATGGGGTAACAGACAAATAATAGTACACTGCAAAAACAAGTTAAATTATAAAAGTAAAGTCTTTAATAAATAAAATTCCATATGCATCTTCTCTTCTCAACAACATAATAATTCTTCCTGACGGTTTATCGTTGCACATATACGGTAACATAACTATTCAACTCTAATGGTATCGGTCAGTAACAGGCACATGCACAGGTACAGACACAGGTGGTACTATAACAAATAAAATCAATTTTCTAATAACCACCATTCATTTCATTACAATTAAACATTAATCAAGCCTATGATAAGTATAACAATTTACTAATTAGTAAAACAAAATATAATGTATATGTACTCACAATGAACATCTAAACTGAGGGCTGTCTTGACGACACCTCCCTTACGTGACCGTTAAGTAGTTCGTATCGTTTGAGGTGTGTCGCATGATTTAGCATACTTTGTTTTTATACGGCGGTACACCTCACACGATGATTACGCTAATTAAAGTCATGCTTAATTGCTTCCATTATAAATACGCAAATTATAGCGCTAGATGATCGTTTTAACCGTGACAATTAACCCCCAACCCAAGTTAAATGCACCGCTGTTTAACAAAATACACTTACATTATCTTAACTACACATAATCAATCATAAACATCAATATGGATAACAGAGAGCAGAAATTCAAAATCAAATATTTTCTGGCCAATTGTAAGCATATAATCAATGTAGGCATATATTCAACTTTCTTATATATATATTTTAAAAAATACACTTAATTTCATACAAGCAAACTCATTCTGATGTTAAATTTATATACGACTTAAATAATCTGCTCCGACATTATTTACTCCTTTTATGACCCTGATTCGGTATCTGAAAGGTTGTAAAATAAGAGCCCATCGTAAGATGCGACCATTTGCCACCTGTGTTTTTCTAAGAGATGTGAGAGGCTGGTGATCTGTTTCGATCACAAACTCTCTACCATAAAGGTAGGGTTCAAATCTTTGCACTCGCCATATATTTGCAAGACATTCCTTTTCAATAACCGAATATCTCTTTTGGGTCTCATTAAGTTTCTTACTCGCATATGAAACGGGAAATATTTCTCCAGCCGTTTCCTGGAGTAATGCTGCACCAATACCTGTGTTGCACGCATCAGTCCTTCTTTGCTGATGTCGGGCAATTGTAAAATAGGGCCTAAACACAATTTTCCTTTAAGAACTGTAAACGCCCTTTCTAACTCATCATTCCATGCTATTATATTAGGCTGTCGTTTCTTGGTTACATCAGATAAAGGAGCGGATATAGAAGCAAAGTTATCAACAAATTTCCTGTAATATCCTACAAGTCCTAGAAATGACCTCATTTGACTTTTTGTAGTAGGTCTTTTAGCATCTTTTATTGCTTTTACTCTATCATATTTGGGTTTAAGTTTCCCATTACCCACTACATGTCCGAAAAATTCTACCTCTCTGTACCCTATGTAACACTTAGTTGGTCTCGCAGTTATTTAGTATTATCTTATGTTGTCCCAAATTGGTTTTACCCGGTACGTCAGTCATTACGTCACAAAACTTCTCCATAACACTCATTACTTCCATACGTTACTTTTAGGCAAATCCCGGCAAACATTTACATCCTTGATACTCTCCTTACATTTAAGAGGTGTCAACACCAACTGCTCCTTTTCTCTATCAAGTACCTCCTCTTCATTCTTTTCACACTCAACCACCGCAATGCACGCTAATTCATCTACCTTCTTCTCACTGTTATTTCTTACATATTTTTTTAACATATTAATATGAAAAACGTTCTCACGATGGCCAAAATTCACTTGATAGTTAAGAGGGTTTACCTTTTGGGAAATAGGAAATGGCCCTTTCCAAGACATAAGTAATTTGTTGGAATCTGTTGGGAGTAAAACCAAAACCTCATTCCCTATCTCTAACTCTCTAGGTTTCGCCTTTTTGTCATAATACTTCTTGTAGCGTTTACTAGCTTTATGTAATTCATTTTTGGCTATTGTACAAGTGTGTTCCAATCTATCCTTTAAATCAAGAACATAGTTATAGACTAGCTTTTGTTCACAATGTGTACGAGACCCTGTCCATAACTTTTTGATAATCATCATGGGCCCCCTGACGCTACGGCCATATAGTAACTCAAATGGTGAGAAACCAGTGCTCTCTTGGGGTACTTCCCTGTAGGCGAATAATAATGGGTCTATATACCTATCCCAATCTTTCGGCTTCTCTTCGCACATCTTTTTCAACATGCCCTTTAAGGCTCCATTAAATTTTTCTACTAACCCGTTACACATAGCATGATAAGGTGTTGTAGTGAAACTCTTAATGGACAACAGTCTATTAACTTCAGACATTAATTTAGACTTTTAGAATTGGGACCCTTGGTCGGATAACACTTCATTTGGGAATCCCAATCTTGAATAAATTGAAATTAAAGCCTCAGCAATTGTTACAGTTTCTATGTTTTTTAAGGGAACGGCTTCTGGATACCTGGTAGAGTAATCCACTAAAACTAGAATAAATTTATGGCCCCGTGTGGTGATAGGTTTGATTGGTCCCACTAAATCAATCCCAACCTCTTTGGAACGGCTCACAATAACTGGCATACTGCCTAGGGGTACCTTAGTAACTCTTCCTTTTGGAACTGTCCGTTGACAGATGTCGCAAGATTGACAGTAACGTCTTACATCACCCTGCATCCCTGGCCAAAAAAAAAAAAACAAGTTGGAATTTTATCATAAGTTTTCTTACTTCCCATGTGTCCCCCTACAATAGATTCATGTGCAATTCGGAGAACGTGATTTCTAAAACATTTAGGAACAACAACTTGTCTTATGATATTTCCCAACTCCACTTTGGGCGAGGTGAACTCTCTAAATAAAATTCCCTTATCGTCATAAACATATTCAAATTCTCCACAGCCCCAATCCTTATACTTACCAGTCCCCGCTAATTCCCTTGGCTTGCACAATGTGGGATCTGACTTTTGTTTGGTTATCAAATCTTCTGGGGTTACTTCATCTATTGAGCTTACAACTTTTAACTTACTCACCTTTTTCACTTCATTTGCCTTCTAGTCATCACTGCTGCTGTTATTTCTTGTTTCTTTCTCCACTCTTTATTTGGGTCGTTTGCATCCCTAGCACCTTGCACATTCCCAATTATGAGATCACAAACAGTAACAGGCACATGCACAGGTACAGACACAGGTGGCACTATAACAAATAAAATCAATTTTCTAATAACCACCATTCATTTCATTACAATTAAACATTAATCAAGCCTATGATAAGTATAACAATTTACTAATTAGTAAAACAAAATATAATGTATATGTACTCACAATGAACATCTAAACTGAGGGCTGTCTTGACGACACCTCCCTTACGTGACCGTTAAGTAGTTCGTATCGTTTGAGGTGTGTCGCATGATTTAGCATACTTTGTTTTTATACGGCGGTACACCTCACACGATGATTACGCTAATTAAAGTCATGCTTAATTGCTTCCATTATAAATACGCAAATTATAACGCTAGATGATCGTTTTAACCGTGACAGACGCCATCATTCCGATTACATTTTTTAACAAGATTGAAGAGCTGAGTAACTATTTAGCAAAGTTCTTGTTACATTTGATATACATAGCATATGTAAAAGTGACTAAAGATATACATTTATTTCCCCTACCCCATCTTAATTAATCCAAAATAGGATATTTTATGTCAAAATTTCAAAGTGCTATGATCGTTTTAACCGTGACAGACGCCATCATTCCGATTACATTTTTTAACGAGATTGGAGTAACTATTTAGCAAAGTTCTTGTTACATTTGATATACATAGCATATGTAAAAGTGACTAAAGATATACATTTATTTCCCCTACCCCATCTTAATTAATCCAAAATAGGATATTTTATGTCAAAATTTCAAAGTGCTATAAAAATAATTGCCCAAGCTCTAAGAATGAGGATTTTTTTTCCTGAGACACTGTATGATATATTGATTCAGAAAAACCAAAAATAAATTTTCCTTTACTTTTTTTCCCGCTAATTTCCTACTGCACCCAGGCTACTGTTCAACGAGGTCGCGATTCTCAGCTGAATATAATCCGTAATGACGAATTAGTAATTCGTATTTAGGATTACTATTTCGTAATAACGAATTAGTTAATTCGTAATTACGAATTAATAATTTGTAATTACGAATTAGTAATCCGTAATAACGAATTAACTAATTCGTTATTACGGATTAGTACTCCGTAATTGCGAATTAGTAATTCGTTATTACGGATTACTGAACATATACTTTATTGGCACTAATGGGCTTTCGTAGTACGGTAAACTATCTCATTCTTATTACAGTAAATACTAGTAGATATGTGTGTATACAGTACATGACCCAGATTGAGTCGCTGCATACATATTCTTTTTTCAATTAATCGTTGAACCCCAAATAAAACCGGGGTCGGAGGCCCTCCTCGGGAGAATTTTGATTCTTTGATGGCAAGAAATGAGTTTACCCAGAAGTGTCTTTTAATGACCTTTAAGTTTTTCAAAATTCAAGGTTTTCTCCTTTTGTAAATGGTCAGGTAAATTTTTTTACAGTAAATAGGCCTATATGTATGTGCCGGTATACAGAGATTTTTAAAATTTTTTTATATATATATATATTTTATTTTTAATTTTTTTTTTCCAAGGTGGGGGGGGGGTCATGATTCGTAATTACGGATTAATAATCCGTAATTACGAATTTGTAATTCGTAATATCGAATTAACTAATTCGTTTTTACAGATTAGTAATCCGTAATTACGAATTAGTTATTACGGATTACTGAACATATGCTTTATTGGCACTATGTGGTTTCGTACATTGAAGTATCTTTATTTATAAAAAAAACAAAAAAAACAATTGTTGATTTAATATGCTGATTCATCTCATAAATCAAAAAATTATTATTCGTTATTAAAATATTATTCGAGCACTGTTATAGTTATTATATTATTATTATTATTATTATTATTATTATTATTATTATTATTATTATTATTATTACTATTTTATTTTTAATTTTGTTGTTTTATTTTTTGTTTTATGTATGGGCCTAGATATACAGTATGTATATTATTAATAATTATAAATAATTATAATTAATTGTAAAACATTAGCTAGGCTACCTAACCAATTATTAATACCATAATCTATCGATAAAAATTTGAGTAAAACAGCAGCTTTTCGAGTGGCAGTGCCGATAGAAACAGCAGTGTTTTTTCTGTTTTTTTTTTTCCCGCACTGTGGCTGTGCCGATAGAATACAGCAGATTTTTAGCACTGTGGCAGCAGTGCCGACAGAAAACAGCAGCCTTTTGGCAATAAACAGCAGCTATTGTTTTGCGCTGCGGGCAGTAAAATACAACAAACAATACAGATATGGCTAAAATACGTGTCTGCATGTATGAAAATGTCGATGAGGTTGTCTTTAAATCGTCAATATACCCCAAGGTTAGTTGCAGTAGAGGAATTTAGGCTAGGCCCTAGGCCTTGTCCTAGGGGAGCCTAGCCTAGCGAGTTAGGCTAGTTATTTTGGATGAGTTGGGATGGCCTATTGGGCTAGGCCTAGGTTAGTCCTACTAACTACTTAGGCTAGGCTGGCGAGAGGGCCTAGTAAGTAGATAAAGGTAATCGAGCCCAAGGTACTGGGGATCTATAGGCCTAGGCTAGGCCCTACTAGGCCTAGCTAGAGATTTGCCAAATCGCCAGTGTGGGTCATCAGTAGGAATTCGATCCAACTCGGCCACAAGTCAACTCGGCCACAGTCAACTCGGCCACAAGTCAACTCGGCCACAAGTCAACTCGGACACAAGTTAACTCGGCCACAAGTCAACTCGGCCACAATCAAGTCAACTCGGCCACAATCAAGTCAACTCGGCCACAAGTCAACTCGGCCACAAGTCAACTCGGCCACAAGTCATCTCGGCCACAAATCAACTCGGCCACAAGTCAACTCGGCCACAAGTAATTTACTGGTACTACATTGTACTAGTTAATTGTTATTATTATTGTTGTTATTATTGTTGTCATTGTTATTATTATTGTTGTTTTTATTACCGTTAGTTTTAATATTAATTATTAGTCTTAGCATTAACATTATATATTGTTCAAAATTTTTGCTGATATTATTATTATTACATATATATATATAGTACATATATTTATAGTACCATATAAATAATAAATAATTTTCGATTTTTTTTCATATTATTATTATTATTATTTATTAGTCTTAGTATTAAAATTTTAATAATAGTAATTTAAAAAGTTGTTATTATTGGCATTTTATTAATATTTTTCTCATATTATTGTTATTATTATTAATATTATTGTTGTTGTTGACCTTTATTATCGATATTATTACCCTATTACTAAGTAGGCCTAGTATTATAAGTATCATTATTATTATTATTACTAATTAGTATTACTATTATTATAAAAATAAACAGTTCACTTGTGGCTGAGTTGACTTGTGGCCGAGTTGGCAGAAGCCGAAATTTTTGTGGCCGAGTTGACTTGTGGCCGTGTTGACTTGTGGCCGAGTTGACTTGAGGCCGAGTTGACTGTGGCCGAGTTGACTTGTGGCCGAGTTGACCTGCACCCATCAGTAGTAGTCTCCTAGGGCCCTAGGCCTCCTACCTCGGCTAGGCGGTCTCAAATAATTTTGGCCGCCACTCATTTTGGCCGCCTGCTTTGTTATGCTAATTAGCAGCATATGTAATACATAATGTAATACATATTGTATGGTGCGCCAATAAGGGTCATAACATCTTACATCTTTACTCGCACTGACGCTGCAGTTAATAAGTTCTATTGTCGTTTGGCATCTTGATTATATTATATAAACGTTGTGTTTTAGGTACCGGCCCATTGCTGCTATTATTAATCAATTATTACCTTTCAATGTTATAAGTTTCATTTGAACTTATAACATTGTTTTCACATAGAAAAGAGGAATGCCGTAATCGAAATTGTGTTCAATATATTCATGATGGCCAGCAATGTGAAACAGTGTAAGCTTTATCTAGGTATGGAACCCTTCTTGAGGCCAGCCTTTATCAGTTCGGCTTTAAATTGTTGCGGGTTGCCTTTCTCATCTTTGTAACGTTTAAACACAATATGCTGCCCAATGCAGCCGTTACCAAACATGGTTTTTTCTTGCAGCTCCCTTTCTCTTTTAACCGTAAGAAGAGCATAGTAGCATGGTTGACAGTCGCGCTGTCTGTCAGGGTGTTGCTCTGAGAGAGTTAACCAAATTTCTCTGCACTGTCTCAACATTTTCATTCTTCACCATGCTATAAACATGCGCATGAGTTGGATAAAGTTCCACCATTCAACTCATAGCATTATGTAAAAACAGCCCACCCTATCCTGTCAAACCAACCCCTTGTCGTTTTTGCAACTTTTGTACTAATAGGTGAAGTTATATCCTCCTTCCATGGTTATAGCATGTTGGCAAATGCCTGTAAAATATAACCACCTACTATACAACTTCCATCCTAAACTATTGATGAGCTTTTTTCATCCCCCACTCTAGTCCAAATTTATCTAAAAAATTATCCCACCTCTCTCTCTCTATAGTCTGATGGCACATATTTCTTTGTCAAAGCTTTCTCGCGGATGATATGACCAAAAAAACCACATTTTCCTCACTGCAATCTGTTGCCTCGGCTTCACTGGAGGTTTTATTTTCTCTACCGAGTTGTCTCCTCCTTATTTCCTCTGTGCTGCTTTTTTTTTTATTGTGCTGAAGTTCTTCACACTGACAACACTGTTCATCAAGTCTTCTGTGCTTTTGGCTATTAAAGTTGTGTCATCAGCAAACCATAGGTGGGATGTTATGATTTCTCGATGTTACCAAGATGTTTTCTGGTTCCTGTCACTGACAAAACCGGCTTGCTCTTCGGAGATCTCTGCCGCATAAACAAGAAATTTTATTAATCGACAAAATAAATGCCGTTTTTTCCATATTCTTCATCCAATTTTCCAACGCGCTTGCTGATATGGCAGAACTTTGATCAGCATTCTGTTTATTATGCTCTTCTTAGTTTAAGTCATCATCTGTATTCAAATGAACATAGGCTTCTTACACTTTAGAAAAATGCAATTCACCCTAATTTTATTTTAATTATCTTAATCCTAGATTGAGTACTGTATGAGAGCATTGAAGTTGACGGGGCATTCCACAGTATTTGGTCCGTGAGGGTTCAATTTTCATTTTCAATTATTAATGCAAATTTTGGCTAATTCTCAAAGAAGATATATCAAAGTTAGATGAAAAAAAAACTTTTTTCATTTTTTTTATGGATATTATTTGAGTTATTTGATATTAAATATTAAAAATGTATATTTTGCGTCATGGACGGGACATTAAAAAAAGCTAAATATTTCTTAAACAGTAAATCTGATAACAAAATTTTGGTGCACACACAGTTACCTTGTATTTCACTATTACAAAATCATGTGTTTGGTTGAAATTTGTTATTATTGATTTCATACTTACACATCAAAATTCATAATTGTCCCCTCCGTGACATTTGAGGAGGTTTTTTACATTCATTAGGAAAGTACAATGATATGAAAAATTTAATATTCAATTTTCTTCTCTAGAGACTAAAACTTAATATCTTATCAACCAATTTTAGATAATTTTTTGTTTAACCTGCCTAAAATATAATATTTCAAAAACAAATTGTTACGGACAGGACAGTTTTTGTCAGAGACAAGACAATTTTGTCACGGACGGGACAGTTTGTCACAGACGGACACTTAAAAAATTAATGCAATACAATTTATATGAAATTTTTCATTAGTGTTGATCCAGCTGGATCAACACTAATGAAAAATTTCATATAAATTATATTTGGATCCAAATGAATTTATTTCAAAATAATGCAATACAAGTTTCTTTGCTACTGAATTAGAGTAACAAAGGTAGCAAAGTACGAAAGCCTATTAGTGCCAATAAAGTATATGTTCAGTAATCCGTAATAACGAATTACTAATTCGTAATTACGGATTACTAATCCATAATAACGAATTAGCTAATTCGTTATTACGGATTACTAATTCGTAATTACGTATTATTAATCCGTAATTACGAATTAACTAATTCGTTATTACGGATTAGTAATCCGTAAATAAAAATTACTTATTCGTTATTACGGATTATATTCAGCTGAGAATCGCGACCTCGTTGAACACTAGCCTTGGTGCAGTAGGAAATTAGCGGGAAAAAAGTAAAGGAAAATTTATTTTTGGTTTTTCTGAATCAGTATATCATAGTGTCTCGGAAAAAAAAAAACCATTGTTAGAGCTTGGGCAATTTTTTTTATAGCACTTTGAAATTTTTGACATAAAATATCCTATTTTGGACTAATTAAGATGGGGTAGGGAAATAAATGTATGTTTTTAGTTACTTTTACATGCTATGTATATCAAATATAACAAGAACTTGGCTAAATAGTTACTTTTCAATCTCGTTTAATTTAATCGGAATGATAACGTCATCACAAAAAAATCCAAGATGGTGGCCATTTTGGTAGTAAAAAGTTTTTTAAAATGTAAAATCAATTGATTGTTAATAGAGCAATTTCAAAACAATGATATACATACAACAATAAAATATTACACATACACACACATAATAATAAACTATCACAAAATAAACGTACTGGAAAAAGATATAGTAAAATTTTGCTCTGAAAGACCCAACAATCCCATTTCTAGGCTCGGATAGGGGTAAATTGAAAAAAATATGGCATTATTTTAGTCACTTCTAGTTTTGCTATAAATGTGAATATTGACATTAAACCTATTTAACTAGTTATTCTTTATCAAATTTAATTTAAATGATCATAGTGTCAATTTTCAAGATGGCGTTATCTTGGCGGGAAAATGATTATTTTTTGTAAGATGATTATTATTATTATTACTATTCTCAAAGTACAAAATACAATCTCATGAAAGCAATGTACACATAGAATATATATATATATATATATATATATATATATATATATAAAAATATGGAGACGATGGTAAATGAAAATATAGACATCGAAGGTAGACGTAAGGAACACAAAAATATTTATTATAAGTTTCACATATTTCGGTTGTTCCTACAACCTTCCTCAGCGTGTAAGTGAAGACATAATCAAATAGCTATAGACAGATCATCTTGTCACATTAACATAATAATAAAGGGTGTATATCTAAAATAACAAATAGTTATACATGGCACTGTTGATGTCTATGAGAGTAAATAATGAAAGTAGAGAGCTAAACATAGTGGCCCATACAAAATGAATGAAATACACAGAAAAAAAATTGAACTGTATAGTTAGTCCAATCACGGAACTATAAGTGATAAATAAAAAAATAATACAAAGTTATAAAATAGAGTCAAATAAGCAAAACTAGGTATCAAGTAGCCCAATCTTAGGATGTTA